ATTCAATGGTACCATTATCCAGTCACTTAGGTCAGAAACATGGATACATCCTAGACACTTTTCACTCCCTTATGCCCCACATGTAATAATTGTTCATGCAATTAGATCTTAACTCTTAAGTACTTCTTAAATTATCCCTACTGTTGTCTTCTTAGTTGTATGTCATCATTTGTCTTGTGCAGTTCTACTAGCTATAGATGGCTAAGCATAGAATAATAAATATTAATAAAAATGCTAATATTTAGCAATAAGTACCTCTTCACTCTCCCCCACCATCCCCTGCCAAAAATAAATAAATCAGTCCTCTATACCACTACTGTCGGAGTGACTTTCATACAGTAAAGGCAAGTCCGGACCTTGTTGAAAATCCACCAGGGATTCCTACTGCCCACAGAATCAAGTCCTAACCTTTTAACACAGCATACAAAGTTCTTGATTATCTGGCCCCAGCCAACCTATCCAGTCCAGTCTTATCTCTTATCATCTCCCTTTCACTCAGATACACCCTGACCTCCCACATGAACTGCATGTGCTTCTCCTGCATTCTCCTCTTGCTTTGCTTGGTTAACTTCTCCACATCAGCCACTCTGTGGTGTCCTGGCTCCCATTGTCTGCATGGTGGCTGGCTGGACTCGGCCCACATTTTATCCACTCTGGGACACCTCCCTTGACCACCTTTCCCCACAGATGTAGGCCATCAGCTTCTGAGTTGTTCCTGGACCACCCTTGTGCCACATTTCACACTCTTCCACAGGATTTGCCTTCCCCACTAGGCTGGTGCTCTGTGGCATTTGCCTTTTTCATCTTTTATCGCTAATGCACAGCCCAGTACCTGAGCAATTTGTCTATTTAAGATTATTTATTTTAATTGTCACATTTCCTTCTTGGTTACAAACACTTTATAAGTAGAGAAATTGCCTAAAATATTTATGCTCTTTTCTGAGCTCTCAAATGCATAAACCTAAGAACTAAGAAACCATGTTCTTACTAATTTCTGTTTTATTCAGCACGTTTTTTTATTGTTTTGGTTTTCATTCCAGCTCTGTTTATCATATCATTCATATCATAGGCCCTTTTTACTTTCTTTTTAGTATCTGAAATATAGTAAGATATTAGTGTATTTGTAATATAGAAGAAATGATGTGTGGGACATACTTTCTAAGTGTGGGTGTTGGTGCTCTGTGCATTGGTAATATGTCAGAAAATGTTGGCTTAATTGGTATGTGAAGATATTTGTTGAGTAAGAGGAGATCCATTGTTACAAAGTATCTAAATTATGAGAAGGGGTGTTCTTTTCAGAATTTTAGATTAATTATGTATCTGGATTCTTAAAGTGGTATGTGTGGTGGTGTGTTTGGTGAAGCATGCAAAAGCAGAATTGTTAATTTATCAGCAGTTTATGTTCATTCTTCCTTTATAACAAATATCAGCAACCTGTTTACAAGATTTTTTTAATTTTTCTGACTCATGATAGGGTTATATCTTAGGTAAAAAATACTGGTTGATTTAGGCATGTGATATATTTAGCAGAATCTAAATTCTGGTGCACAGTGGCTATCTTTCATTCTTCTTTCTGGCCATCCCTCAGTAGAGAAGCCCTTAGGCCAGATAGGGCTCTTATCATAAGGATTATTGTACCCTGCTTTTACAAAGATATCTCCCCCAGTCCCTAGCACTCGCTTGCTTAATTTTTACACATACTTTGACAATTTATTCCCATCTGCTCAATACTCTAAATTCCCACCCTTATACCTTACGGCTCTGAGACCCTGGACTTACATCCTCAGCTCACGGTCTGACATCTCTCACATTGCCTCTTACACCCTGGTTCACATTTCCTCATTTCTTCAGTACCTCTGTTTAGAAGGTCTCCTTTTCCAAATACCTGCATAGTTCCTGTCCCTCAACCTTCTTCCAAGAAGCAAAGTGCTTGGAGAGTGCTTTTTCCATGTAACTGTTTACTCACCAGTGATATTTCCTACTATTTAAACTGCTCCTAAAATTTTCTCTTACAGAAAGCTATCTTAGATTGATAAAGTAAAACTTCTTATTTTTCCTCACCTTTCCTGGATTTTTTCTGGATGCCATCTCCTCTCCAGTAATGCTGCATGTCTAGTCTTTGTGTTCTCATTCTTTTAATGTACTTGCCACTGATGAATTTAGATAGGAAGATGTACTGCTTCTTTGGTTTTATGTTTTGTTAGTTGAAGCCCCTAGAAGACAGGGATCACATCTGTTTAATTCTTTGTGTATTGCCTAATACAGTCCGCCATCACCATTACTACACACAGATGACTCATAACTGCTTTCTGATAATAGGAAACAATGGTTTGATAAAGAAGAGTGGTGGATGTTGAACATTTGGCATCCATATTGCACACATTTGTACTGGTGCAGATTGTGTAGAGAAAAAACTCTTGGCTTTGGATTTTCGAAAGATTTTAAGGAAGAGCAGGCGGTAAAATTAATCTTATAAAAAGATAATTTAGGGCCGGCCCATGGCTCACTTGGGAGAATGTGGTGCTGATAATACCAAGGCCACGGGTTCGGAGCCCATATAGAGATGGCCGGTTAGCTCACTGGGTGAGCGTGGTGCTGACAACACCAAGTCAAGGGTTAAGATCCCCTTACCGGTCATATTTTATAATAAAAAAAATAAAATTAAAAGATAATTTGTTTTTCAGATTTGTTATTTTGTCTTTATCAAGTCTAAAAAAGCATTTTGGAAATCGAATAGAGCTAAAACAGTACTTTTATACATCAAACTAAAGAACAGTTGATTGTAGTAAATTAGGATTTGTTATAGAAATTTCATAATGCCCAAAGGGCTGAAGTGCACAGAGAATGTAGCAAAAGCTGCAGTTGTAGATGTCTTTCTCATGCAAATCATTATCTATGAAGTCTCAATGACACAGGCTTAGACAGAAATTGCTAGAGTGATGTCCAGAATAAAATCTGTTGTTTAAACAGCAAAAAGCATTAGCCATTTATATTATAATACATGTTAATGTAATGACTGCTGTTCTAAGAACTCCTTAAAGGAAATACAGAGAATTTGTTAATTCGTAATTAGGAACAGTTGCTGGGAGATAAGCTTAAAAGGAGGAAAATATGTTTAGAGAAACTTGAAATAGTCTTAACAGGGAGAAAGGTTTATCTCTCTTTCCAGTCATAATCTCAGATTCTCCTAAAGTTTAATGAACATTGTTTAAGGCAACTTTATGAAGTTTAATTTAGGCATAGAAGTTTCAGTTTTCAGTTTTTTTAATTTCTTTTTTTAGTATTTCCCAGAAACATTTTTCCTTTTGACTTAAATATTCCCATTTACCATAAATCATTTTAAACAAAACAGTGATTTTAAACTACATTTTACCGCCTTATTCCTCTTTCATGCTTAATTAAAATTTTATGTTGTTTTTAAGACCACACCCTACTAGTTAGTACTCTTTCTAAGCAAGAAATTTGTGGGGTTTTTTTTTTTTTTTTTTTTGGAGAAGATCTTTAGGAATTTTTAAAGGAACATACTACTTTTTACAAGTTATGTGTTTCTTGTCATCATCAATTGGGTATATGATTTGAGTTTTCTTCAGAGTAGAATCTGATTAACTTATTGTGAACATTAGGCTGAAGGGTGAGAAGTTTCTCTGACATTTGCACAGGGATATATTGAGAAATGTTAATAGGTATTCATGGGGAAGGGAAAGCATTGTCATAGGCTTGGAAGGATAGCCCTCATAGTGGTACTTCAGTATATACCTTAGCATGTTAAAGGGACCGAGGAAAGCCTGCAGTAAGTAAATTGTTTAACTTTGTGTAACCAAGTATTTTTTGAACATTTGACCACAGAATCCTTTGTGCCCAGAATACCTGTTAACAGTCCTTGAAACAAGTGTTCCAAGAGCAGAGTCTGGAAAATGTTGCCCAAACAAACCATATGTCAATATTAATACTCTTTTCAAAATCCTAATTTGTAGTGAGGAAATAAGTTAATTATTGGAAAAATCTGTCCTAACACCTGGATTTCACAAATACCAATCATTCCAAATGCAACTGGATCTGGAGTATTCTGTGTGTTGTAGACATCCATTTAGAAATCTGTGATGGAAAGGGTGGAAAGTATGAAGGAATGTATTCAGGAACTTAGTTACTGTGCTAATGTCTGTGATGTTATTTTATGATATTTAATGTTTTATATTTTCTTAGAGAAATTGAGCATTTTACCAGTTTCTTAAAATAATAATTCAAATGTTTCAAACTAAATAAACTTCCATTAAAAAGGAAACATGTTTTAATTAGACCACACTTTATAAATTAATTTCTTAAATGAGTCTGATTGATATAGTGGGTTTCTACCCCCACCCCTCAACAGTATGGAGATGCCTGTGAAGTGCTGATTCAGCAGCAGTTAGATCAGATAACAAAATTACAAATATATTCTTCTAGCAAAACCTCATCATAATCTAGTTTTCTCTTCATGTTTTGCCAACATTTTCCCACCCACATTATTAAAGATAATATTGATGTTGGGTGGATTAGCAGTACTGGCTTCATCTGGGGTCGTTTTATTTTTCCCTGTTTCATCAATGATATTATATATTCCTGTATCAGCTCAGGTAAATTGATACCTCTGAAAAAAGGGCAGGCTTCAAGAAAAATTTTCTTTTCTTTGTCTGGTTTCTATATCAGCTGCATCCTAAAATTGATTCCCTGATTGGCTGAGACAAGGTTTTGGCTCATTCTGCTGTGGTGGAGAGGGTGGGATTATGTTGATTGGTTTAGGTCTGTGGTGCTGTGGAGTTAAATCAATCCTACCATAAATTTTGGTCTTGTTAAGAAAGGGCACATAGGGAATGAATGCTGTGGAAACAACCAATAATGTTCTTTTACTCCAAGAAAGCAAGTTTTGAAAATTCTATATACTAGATATTGTTAATATCCAATGAAATGTTTAGATATTTTTATTTTGCCAATATATTAAGTTTTTTCTTCGATCTTTTTAGTGGACAAGAATTTTGGGCAGATTTAAATGCCATGAATGTGTATGAAACAACTGAATTTGACCAGCTACGAAGGCTTTCCACACCACCTTCTAGCAGTGTCAACTCTATTTATCACACAGTGTGGAAATTCTTCTGTAGAGACCACTTTGGATGGAGAGAATATCCTGAGGTATTTACAGATTCTTTTATTAAAAAGTACATTTAAATTTTTTCGTCTTTCTCTGTTCTTTTGTTCTTCCTTTTCCACAGTGACTAGGCAGAACTACAAACCATAATCAATCTTGTTGATATAAGTAAAACTTTTCTCTCTTCATTTTGTATCTGAAAATGTATTTCTTTCCATTAATCCGAAATCCAGAAATAGAATATCACTATTATCAGAGAAATACAGTGTTTTCCCCAGAATTTTATACTATAGAGGTGAAATACTTAGACCTTGTGCCACTTTTGGTGGTGGTAGTGGTGTTTCTGTGGTCAGGGGTCTGAACCCTTGACCTTGGTATTACAACACCATTCTCTAACCAACACTTTTGGATAGTTTTAACTAGATGAGAACTGGTGTAACTTTTAGCTGTATCTGTCTCCTGGGCTCATGGAGATTGGATCATGTGTTACATTTAGCATTTCAGAAGCCTAATGGAAATAGTCACTCTCAGGTCCCTCGAAGAAATACTTGAAAATGTTTTCTGAGCTGTTGTCAGGCTAATCAGTTATGTAAAATTTTATCATGTGTACATGCATCCTTAGTCTGAGATAGTGAGAATAGCTTGTCAATCACAAAGCAAGGTTTAAAAATGATGGTTTACTTTGTCTCAATGACAATCCTGAGTTAAGTTTAAACACCCTGAAATGGACTTTCATATTCCAGAGATCTGGCTTCTTAAATTTGATAAAATTTATTTCCAGCATTACCAAAAGGAAGAACTGACTTATCTACCTGACCTAGGTTTTTTAAATGGTAATAGCAAAAAAGACAACCTAGCAGGTTAGTTGCTGTAAAACACAATATTGGACTAGAATTGCTGACTCTCTTTTAAGTAATCATTAATATCTATCTTCCAAAGAGAATTAGAAGTCTGTTTAAAATGTATTCTCAAGAATACTTAGAATGTCCCTGTATTTCCCTCAGAGATTTCTCAGGTTCAGTACTGAATTGGTTTATTTGAACTTTATACACCATCATCTTTAATTTTTCTTCTGAAAATCCCTTAAGAAATGTAAACCAAAAAAATCTCTAGGACATCGTTAAGGCTCAAAATAGAATAGAGTAGTTCCCTGGGCCTCACATGTTTTATAAGGTAGAAATCTGTGCTCTTCTGCACAGGGAGCATCTTCCTACTCTGCATCTTCGGGGCGGGGGGAATCCCACATTTTATAAAGGGAATTAATTTGATTCATTGTATTTTATTGAAATTCCTCTGATGTTGACAGTGAGGTTAATTGTTTTTGCCAGTGAGATAACTACATTTTCATATTGCATAGAGATTGTTTATTAACTTTTTTTTAACTTGCTTTTTGTCTTTGTTTTCTACTCTGTAGTCTGTTATTCGGTTGATTGAAGAAGCAAACTCTAGGGGTCTGAAAGAGGTCCGATTTATGATGTGGAACAACCACTATATCCTTCACAACTCATTCTTCAGGAGAGAGATAAAAAGGAGACCCCTTTTCCGCTCCTGTTTTATATTGCTTCCATATTTACAGTAAGTGTCCAGTGGAAAATCTTATCTTACTTTCATTTTATATAAATGTGCTACTGAATGCCAGAGAGAAAAAGATTGTAAATTAAGAGACTATCTTGGTTATTACTTGTAGAATGTGAAATTCCGAATTATTCTTTGGGTTTAATTCTTCAACAAATTGAGTTCACATAAGCTACACTTAACCCAACACTAAAAGAGTGAGTATCCTATTGGATTTTTTGAGCTGAAAAGTAAGATAGGGTTAACATCTTTCCACAATTAAACATAATTATGTCTGGAATGAGGGGCAGAGTTTGCATTTGCGTCCTTCATAAAAGATTGAGCTTTTCATTCCATGAGGGACTACTTACAAGGTGGAACTATTACCTGTTACGGGACTGCTTCCCAGTCCAGGTAAGTGCCAGGGGACGTGGGGAGTCCTACAAGGTGGTGTTCTCCATTCTTCTTCCTAGAATGAATTTGAATGGGAAAAATGCAACTTTCGATTTTACATTCTCATTTGCTAAGGAAGGCACATCTTCCTGTGATACTCACTAAAATTACCTGTCATACTTACTGAGAATACAGTTTCTTAATAAAAGATTAAAACTAAACTAACTCTTCTGAACTGTTGATGAGCTGTTTTTCCATTTGCTCTCTCCACATAGCCTACTAGCACACCTTCCTAGATACCAAGAGGCAAGGCACATTACCATTAGCATAGCCATCTTTGAAAGTTAGTATCTGTAAGGAAATCCTGATATATACTTCACTCAGATATACCATTTTTAGAGCCTGATTTTGAAAATGTTACTAGTTTTACTTGATTTTGTGAAGTTGGGAGGTTTTGAGTAATATTAGTTGGTTTCTTCTGCTGATCTTTGAGGCGAAGATACTGTTTTTATATTTCTACTATTTTTATTTCAAGCCCCAACTGTTTTCCTCAAGTCATTATGATAGAATCTTAATGATACTAATTCTGAGATTGGAGGCAGGGAGACATTAAAAACAAAATATAAACAAATAAAAATTTCTGAAGTGATCAGTACCAAAAAGAAATTTGTAATAAGGCTGATTTTACAAGTGTATATTGGCTTGGGTTAAGTGTTTGCTTTCTTCTAAGTCCAAGTGTGAGAAATTTTACCTTATACAGTTTTTTTTTTTTTACTGGACCTAATAAAAATGCCATTCTGTGATTTCACTAGCACAGCTGGAGATACTGTCAGCATCCAGTAGTTAGGAACATATTGTCCTGGTGAGACAGTAGAACTCATTAGTGGAACCAGCAGCTTGGCATGCTGAGCCAATCAAGCAAGATGTAGCTTCTGTGTAAGGGTAAGAATGCTCATTTGAGTGCTGCGTTGTTGTGGAAGTTTTAATAGAATTGCAGAAATTGATTTGTTTCAATCTTAAGACAAGTTATTATGGACTCCTTTTTTTCTTTTTAAACTTACGCTTGTTTTATGAAAAGGTATGAGCTATAAAAATAGTATAAGCAGTGGTAGAATTAATACTACAAATATGGCCTTACTATATTTATAATACAGGCTTACAGGAAAACAAAAAAAGTTACTTTACTCCCTCTTCCTTTTTAAAATTTTCTATTTTAATCTTTTTGTCTGTAACAGTGACAATCAGGTATAAAGTAAGAAGTCAGCAAATCAAAGAGATTAGGCAGATACTTCAGTGAAAAAAGAGCAGAGAAACAGCAAGTTCAGCAGGGTAGAATGCATAAACATAGCAATCCTATCTGCCCTAGAGTTTGGGCTGAGGAATACTTGGACTGGCCTAATGGGGAGGAAGAGGAGAAGGATTGGTTCCAAAAAGCAGATTTCAGAGATAATGATCTTAGCCAGGGTAAAAGTATTGTTTTTAAGTGTTATTAAATACAGAGGGTCAAAGAGAAACGTAGGTGTCAAAGAGGCCATATTTGTCAGGGAATCAGAGATGTCTAAGAATTGGGAATGCTAGGGGGTGGGGTGGGGCTGACTTAAATTCATGAATTTCCTGCAAATTCAGTTGTATTTAAAAGATTTTTTCCTAGAAAGAGGGGGGGGAAAGTAAAAGATTTTTCCTGCTGCCTTTTAGTGGGGCTGATAAAAAGAAGTTCATTCTTTAATATTCTTAGAATACTTGAGTTGAGGCTGCATAAGGAAACAAATCTCATATTTAGCAGTATGGGGGTTCGTTTTTTTCCATTGAAAGGACAGCTGTCCTGTGCAATAACCTTATGGTCATGAGAAGGCCTGATACAGTTTCTTGGACTCCTCCTCTCAAACGATAAAATGAATTAATCTTTATTTCATCACTGACATTGGGTTAGGAAACATATTTCAGAATGGTAAGGGGTGGGAAGGAGAGTGATGAAAGTTGACCTTGGATTCTGAAAAATCTGTTCTTCAGAGGTCCTTGAGTACAAGCTAGATACCCTACAACTTTGCCTCTCTAGAGAAGGCTGGTGCAGCACTGTGAAGCATGCAGTATGTCATTGAAATACCCATAAGCTGAATACGAATTCAGCATTCTCAGAAAATAAAGGTATGTTTGTAACTGTGTTTGAAATAAATAGTTTAAACCCATGACAACTAGAGTGTAGAAGTCTATTAGACAGTTGTCTATATGCGTCTTTGTTTTAGTCCAGTTAGGATGCTGGCTTGTTAAAAAGTGTATGCATCAATGGGTGGGAATGGATGCTAGCCATATATATAATCTATTTTAACGTCTTAGAATGGATAGGATTTACTTACCCAGACTCATCTTCAAGCATGTGTGAGTAAACGACAGACCTACATGTCCCCCAAAAAGGAATGGATATATTTGAAGCTTTGATTTTATGGAACTGGTTCTTAGGCAGGAGTGGTATCAGGAAGAAAAGGAGCAGAGTATCTTCTGTTGTCAGTGCCAGGTTTTCAGTATAGACTGAGACTGTCTAAATCAGTTTTGGGTAGAGAGGGGAGAATCTTATCTTTCTTTCTCAACCCAGAAACCTTTGTTGGTAACATCAACCCCTGAAAATAACAGAAGACCTGGTGGGCCGGGACTTACTGGCTTTTTTGCAGAGCTGGGATAGATGGAATGGCTAAAAACAAGGGGCTTATATTCTGTGCTTTCTTGCCATTCCTGCAGAATAGTGATGGCTTTTTTAAGAGTTATAGACCTTTGAAAATCTGAGTAAAGCAGTGAATACTCTCTTCAGAAAAATGTACCAGTGAAAAATGTACCATTGTTCCAGAAAAATGTACCAGTACTGAGGCTCCAAAGGAATCTGTCAGGGCTCTGAGAAAATGTTCCAGAGAACAAGAACTTCTGTGCCTTCTGTCATGAAGGTTGGAGGAACCAGCACCACTTTGAATCTGTCCCTGAACTTAAAAGCACCTGAGGGATTCAGTAAGCCCTGGATCTACCCACCCAGAACTTTTTCTCTGTCTCATAAGGGGACTTTGAGGCACATTAAATTGAAGGCACAGCCACTTGAAGCAGGCAAGGGTTGAAAAAGGCAATTATGCTCCATAGCTTTTAGCTTCTTATCAAACCATCTCTTAAAAGTACAAAGACAGTATGATATGGTGGTGGTAGTGGTGGTGAGGAGAGTCAGGCAAAACTAGGTTGAAATCCTGGTATATCCCATCTGTCACTTTCTAGGCATAGAAATATATAAAAATATAAATATACATATATATAAAATTGTGAAATACATGGAAATGGAAAGAGTATGAGTTTAGAAACTACTTAAATGAGCCTGGATTCAAATCCTGTCACTACTCTTTGCTAGTTGTGCTAGCGTAGATTATTTAATCTCACCGAACCTCTTTCTTTATTTGAAAAGTGGGAATAACCAAGCTCTCTTGCAGTATTATTGTAACAGTGATACTGTGTATAAAATGCCTGGCCCATAATATGTACTTAGTATTAAGTGGCTTGATTATGATGAGGGTGATGGTAAAATATGCTCTTTGGAGATTAGATTCATATTCACAAACAGTTGTAACCTCTGTGTTGCAAAGCTCTTTTGAAAACTTCCTTTTCCTAATCCATTTTGGCAGACATTATTGCTTCCTTGTGACCACTATGTGCTGATGAGTGTTACAGTACCCTGGCTCTGAAACTGGGTCTCAGGGTCTGGATTTTCTTACTCTTTGCTTCTTCCCTTTCTGTCTGTTTTAAAAATGGCCAAGAAATAGGATTTAAATTTAAATAATCAGGCAAGAATAAGTAACTTATCAAAGCTGCTTCTTATCTAAGTTCATCTTTCAAAGTTACAGACCTGAATTTAAAGGTTCAAGGTAATGCATTCTGGTATCTAAAGTTTATAGTAATTAGCTTTATCTTAAGCACACCCAAAGCTATAACATTTGAATAATATTAATGGTTTTGTTATTATATGCGATATGGGAAAATTAAGCAAATACCAAATATTTGTCAACTTTCAATGCCTACTCCATGATTTATGTTTTTATAAGGAAATTAAAGTAAGCTTTTTTATTACTTCCCATATGTTGCCTCAAGTCTGCCCTACTTTGTTTCCCACCTCATGCAACATTTAGTGATGACATCTTTTCCACTTAGTATCAGCAAAATTTGAAGAAAGCATATAAATTATCATTGTTCCCTTGAAACAAAGTTTCTTTAATTGTATAGGAAAAAGAGGAGTCTAGGATTCAAAAGTAAAGATATTTATAAGTTGGCTCGTGCTTGTTTGCCTTGCAGCAATACATTCCAGAGTTTTCTCCACGGGAAGGAGGTCAGGAGGAAGCTAATAATAGGTTATCCGTGTACAGGCAGTGCTTGTTCTAAGATTCTTTTTTTTCTTAAATAGTATTTTTTATTTTTTAAAGAAGCATTTAAGCTATACAAAGTATACTATTAGACACGGTTATAGGACACTATAATGTGAGAGGTACTCATTTCTGAGTGTTTTATGTTGATGTTTCATCCTCTCCATTTTAGGACACTTGGTGGGGTTCCCACACAAGCTCCTCCGCCTCTTGAAGCAACTTCATCATCACAGGTCATCTGCCCTGATGGGGTCACCTCAGCAAACTTTTACCCTGAAACTTGGGTTTATATGCATCCATCTCAGGACTTCATCCAAGTGCCTGTTTCTGCAGAGGACAAAAGTTATCGAATCATTTACAACCTTTTTCATAAGACTGTGCCTGAGTTTAAATATAGAATTTTGCAAATATTGAGAGTCCAAAACCAGTTTCTTTGGGAAAAATATAAAAGGTGAGAGTCACAGATGTGAAAAGTTCAAGAGAGCTTTTCTTAGTGCAGTTAATCTCAAATGTGAAACGTAATAGTAAATACTTGCATGGAATTTAATATGTCTATATTTTTCCATATATTAACTCACATGTAATCCTCATAACTGACGTATGAATAGGATTATAATAATTTACATTTTACAGAAAGGAAACTGAGTCACAGAAAAGTTTGATGATTTGCCATAGGTCATGTAGCTAATAAGATATGGTGCTGGAATTTGAACCCAAGCAGTCTAGCACCAGAGGTCTTGTTCTTAATCACTTTGCTATGCTGCTTCTCAAATCAACAAATACATTAATGTAGTTAAAAGGGAATACGTGCATCGCTTCTCGGCCTTTTGGCTAAGATCAAGTGTAAAAGGGAATACGTGCAGATTTGAGGAATCTCAGAATTAAGAGATACTCAGGTTTGGGGAATTAGACAAGGAAGGAATATTAAAGAAGGTAAAATATGAGAACTAGATTTGAAATGGAAGAGAAAGCAAGTAAATGGTTTCAGGAGAAAGAAGGAAAAGGGCTTTTCTTCGGTGGAAAAGTTAAGTTCAAACTTTCAGTATGACCTTTGATGGCATTTTGCCCTTGGTAACTGCTTCAGTATTTCCTCCCCATTGAAACCATAAAGAGAAGTTTATGACTACTACATCATGCCCATTAAATTAATCTATATTTTCTTCTTCTGAATTCCTTATCCACTCTTTGCATTAGGAAAAAGGAATATATGAACAGGAAAATGTTTGGCCGTGACAGAATAATAAACGAGAGACATTTATTTCATGGAACATCCCAGGATGTGGTAGATGGAATCTGCAAGCACAACTTTGACCCTCGAGTATGTGGAAAGCATGCTACAATGTTTGGACAGGGCAGTTATTTTGCAAAGAAGGCAAGCTACTCTCATAACTTTTCTAAGAAGTCCTCCAAAGGAGTCCATTTCATGTTTCTCGCCAAAGTGCTGACTGGCAGATACACAATGGGCAGTCATGGCATGAGAAGGCCCCCTCCAGTCAATCCTGGCAGTGTCACCAGTGACCTGTATGACTCTTGTGTGGATAATTTCTTTGAGCCTCAGATTTTTGTCATTTTTAATGATGACCAGAGTTACCCTTATTTTGTTATCCAGTATGAAGAAGTCAGTAACACTGTTTCCATATGAAAAATCCTGGTACTGCTAAATTATTTGATATGAACTAAATCCAGCATTTGTAGCAGGTTTTGAATGGGTGGGACAGGGTGGGAAACAGTATTGGACATTAATAGGGCACTTTTCAGACCCATTTTTTTTAAGTGCTAGAAAGTGTAAATTTTTCTTAAGAAAAATACAAGTTTTAAAATGACAACTTATTCTTTAATTATTTACTAATTGTGAGTGTACTCAGTGTGGGAAAGACTACAGTTTGCATACTCTTTTCATTCACACTTGTACATATAGGCAGCAATGTTATTAGAAGCATTAATTAAAAAAAAGAAAACTGAACAGCCTAACTAATTAATGTGTCTTGGGTCTGGTAGAAGTATGGCCAAATGAAGTGGAGACTGTGAGTAAAGCGAAGGTTCAGTTTATTTACTTACATTGATAAAATTGACTGGTACTACTGTGCCCATTCCCTTTCCAAAGCATCACTGCTTTGGTGTAGTATAAGTTCGTGAAATTCTGGTGGGTGGAAAGAAATTTTTATTTCTATGAGCAGGACTGAAGTATATCACCCAAACACAGAACATCAATGACTTTAACTGTTCTGCAGAGTTTGCCTGAAAATTCAGAGTTCCGTTTAGAGGAAGTAAAAGAAAAGGAACCATTTGAGAAATTTTTGTCACCAGCAAAATTTTTCACAACTAGTTATATGAAAGGTGATTCTTGTTTGTTAAACTTCAGACTTGGGAAATTCAGTCTCTTCCATTATCATCCACCCTAATTGAAGGAATTGGGCAGCTAATTTGGTTAAAGCTCATCTTGAGGATTAGAAGTATTACTTTCTTTTGGGGTTCCAGACCTAGCCCTTAACTGAAGGTTTTAAAAGGAAGTACATCTATAGTCAAATAAATAAGATTTATTACTGTACTTTGCACAAAGTAGATTCTCAAAAGTATTTGTTGAGTTGGAATTATTGTTAAAGGTGATAATCCCACTCCTACGCCTGCCTTGCCAGATGCAGCTGGGTTTCCTGGCTGACTCTGTACCATACTTACACTACTTACTTAATAGAAACACAGACTTGGAAATTGTGCCACTGGCTCAGCTAGAGCACTGTTAGGTGAATATGCTGTTGCCGCAGTTCAGAGAGGTAGCAGCTAGGTGAACTTAGCCTTAAGCAAAGCAAATACCTGGAGTTACAAAAATGGAAGTGGTTCATAAAGGAATTCACCATGGAATTCCGTCAGATACCACGCTCTCCTCGTATGTTTGTGGTTGTTTCATTTAAACAAAACTTTTCAGGAACTTCTGTGTTGTCTAAAGCAAAATATATCTATACTGATGTCTCAGTGAATCAGTCTGTTTAAGCACTTATCAGGGCTTCCACGCAGTTATTTATTTTGCCCCAGTTGATCCTGTTGTTTGCTGCCATTGGCATGAAACAGCTAACTGTGGCTGTCACGGTTGTTGCATTCAATTATATCTTGTAAACCAGTGATTTCCAGTCTTTTTCAAGTTCAGATACCTTAACCATTGCTTATTTGATTTTATGAAACTTGTTCCTTTTTTCTTCCTAAAGAAAAAGAAAGCTTTATGACTTATTTATTTTTTTAATAAAACTAAGCAAAAATAAAAGTTATGGTAATTCTTTAAAACTTTTGTTTTTTGGTTACATTTAAGATAACTGAATTAAACACATAGTTGATACGTAAATGCTGGTTGGGTGGTTGAACAAATGTGTGATTGAATGAATGAACACATCTAACTAGAACATGCTGCTCTAGGAATCTGCAGAAAGTACATTATCTAGCAATCAACTGTAAGTCACAAGAGAAGAGTGAATATTTTATTCTGCAGGTAACTATTTAGGGGAAAGGGACAAGTTTTATATCAGCAAATATCTGTAGAGAAAAACATGAGCAGTTTGTTCCCTTCAACACATGTGACGGAAATATAAAAAAGGATTGTAGAAGTCTTATCAGTTCTCAAGTACCTTAATTTCAATGAAAAGTCACCTGACTGGTATATGTGAGCATCTGTGACTACTTTTCCTCCAGTATAATGATTTTTAAATATGTTTAAGAGTATTGTATGTGTTTTAACTACTTAAGCAATAACTATGGAGTCAGTCTAAATTTTGTAATGGTTCCATGGATTTAAAACATACTAAAAGGCATTCAATAACTTCCTACCTACTAGTATATCTACTAGTTATACCATTCCAAAAAGCTGGAACTTACTCTTAATTTAAACTATGGTTAAGATTTCCAGAAGAGTCTACAAACTCCCTGAAATATTTCAGTGTCCTATAGACAGGAAGATTCTTTTATGTGTACAATGTTCATAAATAGTGGATCCCTTGGAATTATAAATCTATAATACCCAACTCTATGCCTTTTGTTACAAACCTGTTAGTTTTAGTAAATGCTTATACAGTTATAAAAATAGTCATTAAGGTCTGAAATACTAACCTAAGAAGAGGAATTTTTATTATATAAGGTGTGAAAATGATTAAATAAAAAAATACATTCAACACCCGATAATGTACTGTTAATTTAAATCAGAGATTTTTCTCCTTCATTAAAGAAAGTAAGGTGAGTACAAAATGTTTCTGGTTTTCTTTAATTGGAATCTCAACAGTCAAAATGCATTTTAGAAAATTCTGCATGGCGCTTTTTTAGAATCTAATCCATACCACTTATGTTGTTGATGTTAATGTGTGATTTTATTAAGTAAGTTAAGCTTTCTATTATAACTGTACTATAATCCTGGACAAATCATTTAACCTTTCACATGGTTAGTTTTTTATCTTTGAAATAGACTTAAAAAAAAAAAAAAAACTACGAATGATAAGAATGTTTCAACTTTGAAACCCTAGGATGCAAAATTTTGACAACTGGTTAGCATTTGCTTACAAATTAAAAGCCAGGTACCTGTTCTTTAGAAAAGATAGTGTTGAGTTTTAAAAACAGACCCATCTAGTTTATTGACATAAATACTCATCGCAGGCAAGTTGAAGAAAGGAAATCAAACAATGCTTACTTTTGACCTTCTTTAGCTTGCTAACCTTGGTTACTCATAAGCTATTATTGTAGAAAGAAAGATGCTTTTGAATAATGTCAGCATTATTATTTGGTCTTACGCTCCTCCACATATTTTTTGGGAAATTTAACTCCTGTATGAAAATGTCAGATGACAGCTCTTTGGAAGCTTTAATCTTAACAAATGGAAATGTTTGTGTTGTAGAAGTGTTTTGTGAACAGTTGTTAAATTCTTCAAGTTAGAGGAGCAGTGCCCATCCATTTTATGTCAGAATTTCACGGACCATAGTAAGAAGTTGGTTAATGGGCACAAAATTATAGCTAGATAGGACAAATAAGTTCTATTGTGTACATTAGTGCAAGCCATCTATAATTAATAATTTAATGTTCTCAAATGGCTAGAAGAGAGGAGCTTAAATGTCCTCATCACAAGGAAATGATAAATTTTAGCAATAATGAATTTGCAAACTACCCTGACTTTGATCACTATATATTGTATACATGTATTGAAATATAACTGTACCCCATAAATATGTACAATTAATACATTTCAGTTTAAAATAATGTCATGGACTTTCTTGATAGTACTTACTTGTATTTAAGTACCTAATGATTAATAAAATGCAGAAACAAGGAAAAGATACTAGGAATTCAGTGATTATTTCTAAGCAGGTTTGTTACTCATCATAGTTATATATATCTACATTTGATATGTAGGATATATAGACTACAGACATATGTTGTGCTTAAATGGATTAATGGGCTCCTAATGATAATTCCCAGGTGATGCTAGAATTCATATTAACAGGCTGGGAACCACTGGGCTAGACTATTGCATTCAAGTTTAAATGATTCCCTTTTATAACTAGGTGTATCTAGTTATAATTTTATATCAGTTTGTAAATTATTTGAGCAGCCATTATGGACTTTGGGCATTAATCCATACTTTTCTGACAAAGGTCCCGCATAAAGGTTATATATTGTATAGTATCTTGGTCAAGGTTGAAGTCATAGTTTCTTAGCTGGGTACAATGAACTGTTCTATTTAGGGTTAGCAACCACAAATCTAATTAGCATCAGTCTCAATGATCTAAGCTAGTTGAACCCAGTATCTTTATAAGCTATTAGTTCCAACCACTCATAAATGTAGCTGAATTTCTTCTAAATACAAATTTCTACCCATATGAGTATAGATTTTTTTTAATTGAAACAGTTGATTGTACATATCTGTGGTGTACTACATTCAATATCAATACCTGTGTGCAATATGATGATCAAATCAGGATAATTATTATATTCAACAATATATAATGTAAGGATTTTTTGTGGCCCTTTCCTAATTCCTCCCTTACTCCTCCTGCCTTTCCCACCTCTGGTAACCTCAGTTCTGTTTTCTTCTTTTGTAAGTTGAATGTATTGTTATTGTTGTATCTTTTTTTTTTTTTTTTGGCTTTCACTTATGAACAAGGACATGCAGTATTTCTTTTTCTGTGCCTGACTTATTTCACTTAACATAATTTTCTCTAAGTTCATCCATGTTGCTGCAAATGGCAGAATTTCATTTTTTTTTTATGGTAGAGTAGTATTCTATTGTGTAAATATACCACATTTTCCTTACCCAGTCGTCCACTGATGGACATTTAGGTTGGTTCCAGCTCTTGGCTGTTGTAAATAGAGCTGCAATAAACATGGGATTGGAGGTATCCCTTTGACATCATGATTTCCATTCCTTTGGGTGTACTCAGCAATGGAATTGCTGGATATTATAGCAGTTCTATCTGTAGTTGTTTGAGGAACCTCCATACCGTTTTCCATAATGGCTGCACCAATTTATAGTCCCACCAACAGTGTAGGAGAGTTCCCCTTTCTTCACATCCTCACCCAGCATTTGTTATTCTCAGTCTTTTTGGTAATGGCCAGTCTAACTGGGGTGAGATGATGTCTCAATGTAGTTTGACTTCCATTTCCCTGATGGTGACGTTGACCATTTTTTCATGTGTCTGTTGGCCATGTGAATATCTTCCTTTGAGAAATGTCTATTCAGCTCCTTTGCCCATTTTTTAACTGGGTTACTTGTCTCTTTACTGTTAACTTGTGTGAGTTCCTTTGTATTCTGGACAGTAATCCCTTGTCAGATGCATAGTTTGCAAATATTTTCTCCCATTCTGTAGGTTGTCTTTTTGCTCTACTAATTGTTTCTTTTGCTGTGCAGAACCTTTTTAGTTTGATATAATCTCATTTGTTTATTTTTCCTTCTGTTGCCTGTGCTTTTGAGATCATATTCATAAAGTCTTTGCCCAGTCCTACTTCCAGAAGTGTTGGCCCTGTTTTCTTTTAGGAGTTTTATAATTTCAGGTCTTATATTAAAGTCTTTAATCCGTTTTGAGTTGATTTTGGTATATGGTGAGAGGTACAGGTCTACTTTCATTCTTCTACATAGGGATGTCCAGTTTTCTCAGCAATATTTATTGAAGAGGCAGTCTTTTTCCCAATGTATGTTCTTGTTGTCTTTGTCAAAGATCAGTTGGTCGTAAGTTTGTGTGTTGATTTCTGGGTTCCCTATTCTGTTCCATTGGTCTGGGTGTCTGTTTTTATGCCAGTTCCATGCTGTTTTGGCTACTATAGCTTTGTAATATAATTTGAAGTCAGGTAGTGTTATGCCTCCAGCTTTCTGATTTTTGCTCATGAATGCTTTGGCTACTTGGGATTTTTTGTTGTTTCAGATGAATGTTAGGATTTTTTTTTTTTCTATTTTTGTGAAGAATGCCGTTGGTATTTTGATGGGCATTGCATTGAATCTGTAGATAGCTTTGGGTAATATGGACATTTCACAATGTTAATTCTTCCAATTGAAAAGCATGGAATGTCTTTCTATCGTTTTATACCCTCTTTAATTTCTTTCAACAATGATTTGCAATTCTCATTGTAGAGATCTTTTACCTCCTTTTTAAAAATGGATTCCTAGGTATTTTATTTTTTGGTGACTTTTGTAAATGGGCTAACTTCCTTGATTTCTCTTTCTGCTAGTATGTTTTTGGAATGTAAAAATGCTATTGATTTTTGTGTGTTGATTTTTTATCCTGCAACTTTACTGATATCATTTATCAATTCTAAGACTTTTTTTTGTAGAGTCTTTAGACTTTTCTATATGTAGAATCATGTCATCTGCAAACAGGTAATTTGACTTTGTCTTTTCCAATCTGGGTGTCTTTATTTCTTTTTCTTGCCTGATTGTTCTGGCTAGTACTTCTAATACTATGTTAAATAAGAATGGTGAGAGTGAGCAGCCTTGTTACCATTCTTAAGAGAAAAGCTTTTAGCTTTATCCCATTCAGTATGACATTGGCAGTGGGTTTACAGTATATGACTTTTATTATGTTGAGATATTTTGCTTCTATATCTAATTTGCTGTGAGTCTTTATCATGAAGTGATGTTGAATTTTGTCAAATGCTTTTTCTGCATCTATTGATATAATCATATGGTTCTTGTCCTTGATTTTGTTGATGTGATGTATCACATTTATTGACTTGCATGTATTGAACCATCCTTGCATACTGGGGATGAATTCCACTTGATTGTGGTGTATAATTTTTTTGATGTTTTGCTGTATTCT